TTATTAACTGAATTGGGGCTGGACTAGATAAGCTTTTGCTTCTTCCAGTTCCCTCTCAAATGGTTTTATGTTATTGTATGTTTTGTATTGTTTCATTCAACAGCATATGTTTATCGTATTCCTCATTTTAAAAAAAAAATTTTTTTTGTATGCACCAGGAATATGGGGGAGTGCATATGCAATTTCATGTTTTCGATGGTTTGAGATAAATAAATAAATAAATAAATAAATAAAATTATCTCACACAAGATGTAAACTAAACCATTGACCCAGAGGCTGTGACAAGAAGAAGAAGAAAGAAGGCAAAACAGCAGAGGTCCGCATCTCTTAACACTAGTGTCTGCATCCACGGCGCTAAGGAAACCCTCTGGCAGTTTGAACACCTCCACGTGCCAACAACTAGATGGAAGTCAGGGATAGCAATTCTAGGGATCCCTCTGCAGTGGAGCTGCCTAATGTGAGATGCAGTATTTTTAGCTTCCCCAGACTGTCCCCTCCCCCCACAGCCAGTCGCAGCTGAACTGGGTCAGGCCATGTAAATGTGGAGGGTGCAAAGCAGAGATACCCAGCCATCCCTCTGCAGCCTTGTTCGTGGCTAGGAACGCTACTTCACCCCTCACAGACTGGGACCTCTACACAGCCCTTACACGCCGTCAAGCTGCCAGTTCATAAGAACACACAGTCAGAGCAGAGGCATCACCAGCGACACGTTCTGCCCTCGGGCATCTTTTTATCATGTGTGGAGAGACACACAATGGCTTGTGAAATGGAAACTATAAAGGATACAAACTTCAATTTACCCATAACTAAAATATGTTCATGTCAACATAGTTAAGTTAAATTAAGTTTAAAGTTATTTGATAAGCTGCTTTGAAACTATTAGATAATGATGGGACATTCTCCTAATATAAGCATCATTAAAGTGCTCAGACAATTTCATTTTCTGTAAATTAGGACATTTAAAATGCAAGAACGAACAATCTAAAAATGAAAGGAAACAAAAATATGGAGACAGAGCTCAGCTGAAGCCCACGCCATTCTGGAAGTAGAGCTGAAAAGGGAAATCAACATTAAATGTTATGCCTTGAACAAGATTGTTATATTATTTATGCAAAAAACATGCTTAGAACGACATGTCCAAGAAAAGGGCCTGCCAGCATAGGAATTGTTTTAAAACTTTAAACCTAAATGCCAAAATACTGTTAAACAGGATAACTCCTTTTGAACTACTTTGTTCAAAAATGTCATCCATTTTATTTTTATCCTACAGACTCTTTGGACAGAAGCTTCAAAGCTTTAATATTTTAAAATTGCATTAGCAAAAATGATTCGATGTTGAAATCACATGATGTCATAACTAGAACTTTAATTTTTTTTATGTTTAACATTCATGACACAATTGTGCATATGTAGATGTCATTCTTACGCTTCACACGTTTATTTTTGTTTAACAAAAAGCATTTATCTGCATATTTAAAATCCAATTTCATTTTTACAGATTGTAGCCATTTTAAAACATGTTTTTTCCTGTTTTGGTAAAACTAACATACCACTTACATTTCTAATGTCTAATAGATAGTCATAAAATGTGTTTTTTCTTGGCTTATTATAAAAGAAGAGGCATCTGATTTGGTAGTCTGTCTCAAACTCAAAATATTCTGAAAGTTGCATCTCTTGGGCTGCATGGTGGCGCAGTGGTTAGCACTGTTGCCTCGCAGCACAAAGGTTGCAGGTTCGAAACTCGGCTGCGGCCTTTCTGCGTGGAGCTGCGTGTTCTCCCCATGCATGCGTGGGTTTCCTCCGGGTACTCCGGTTTCCCCACAGATCACAACATGCCCTATAGGTTATAAACTGTAAGTTGCTTTGGATAAAAGCGTCTGCTAAATAAATAAACATAAACATCTCATCATGAACTACTTCAAAGACAAGAAGCCGTTTACTTGATACGAGCTCAGCAGCATCAGGTCCTGCAGCCCAGACATTTTTAAACCAGTCCGACTTTATTATCCCTGCAATTACAGCTCTAGGATGGACTTTTTCTTGCTGTGAGCACTGCAACAATTTTCTCCAACTATACCATTAGGAGTGATGAATATTTTAACTTCCTAAATACTACGGCATTACAGCTCCAAGACAACATTTTAAATAGTGAGGTTCCCTCTCTGCCTCTCGTGTTCAGTATGCCCATCTGCACTCAGTGAAGCTTCATTGAGTACAACTAATCCACAGCTGTGTTGACAGCTTCACCTGTCGTCCCAAGCAAAATATATTTTCTAAACTCTATCAGATGCTTTAACATGTGGTATGACAAAACAGCTTTTGTGCAAAATTGACTCATTATGTACATCCTTTCCTTATATTCATACGATGTTCTGACAGACTTCCTGGATTCCCTTTTGAGAAACGGTTTACATTTTTGAAAATTGACAACACAAATGACACTGCCACCTTCATTGGAATGTGGTATTTCCAGCAAAAACAAAACCCTGCAGTATGTCATTTTACTATAACTCTCAAGATTTGAATGAATGAGATGTAACTGGTGACTTGGAGCACAACGTAACCTAATACAACTGTTTTGAATAACCTTGGTGTTGCAGTCTACACAGAAGATAAGCAAAACTCCACTGTGAGTATTTGAGATCATAAATACATTGTATGTCATGATGCAACAACAGACTATGTTTAGCTTCCAAAGTTGGTTTACATGACTCAATGTCACCTTAAACCTTCACATCAATTTTTACAAAAAATATATTGCTGCACGCTCTACAAAAACTAATGAGGATTTTAGTAATCTCGTCATGACTTTGGACTGTGTGCGACTCCACAGCAGTGCATGTCAATAGAATGAACCCTATCAACTCCAGAGTCAGCTGTTTAAAATGAGAAAACACAGCAAACTAGGTAAACTGCATTTCTTCAGAGAAAATTTTTTTTGTAGTTTGTCAGATCCTCTGCATTAAGAAACCAGATAGTAAACAAACTAAAATCTCTCACACACACACACACACACACACACACACACACACACACACACACACACACACACACACACACACACACACACACACACACACACACACACACAATAAACAAAAACTATCCAATGTAATAAACTTTTAGAAGTCAGCTGATCTGGCTTCTGCAACAACAAAAGAAAATAATGACAAGTGTAACCAGTACTGACTCCTTATTTAGTCGGGGTGTGTGATGTTCTCCATTGTGAGCCATAAAAAGATTGCATGACAAGGAATAAGAAAAGATATTTTTGTTGTCCTTGATTGACAGCAACAGTGAGTTCAAAGGGCTCAAAGACAAGAACAGGCTGTGTTAGTGATTTATTAGGTGAATCATTAAACAGATTTTGATTTCTATATGCTGAGACAGACAGCTATCATGACTATTCATTTGTCAAGCATGTTTTTTTATATGATAAGGCACAATTCAGACAGTACAGTTCTAAGTCAACACCTAATTTAAGCAATCCATCACTCCTATCGTTTAGTCTGCTGCAAGACATTTTGTCTATAATGTCTGAATTGGCTTAGCTGTCATTAAATTATGTAACAAGTGCACAGATAACTGCTGCACAGTAAGATGACAGGCACATCTTGTCTCATTGAATAACAGTCTATTCCTCCCAGGCATGTGCTACTTTGTAAGTATTTTTGAGATAACCGCAGTAGCCATTGCAATGCACTCACTGTGGGATCCCAAGTCACCACAGAAAACAAGGGAAGCAGCAGCTGGGCTCTGGCAAGCCGGGTGCCTTTTAATTGGATCAGAAGTGATCCTTTCAAATGGACACCAAAAAGGTGCGCAGCCACTGCACTCCACATCGATCTGGACAGCCGCAGACGATGTTTGGCAGTGAATATTTGCTTTATCCATCGAGATCACGAGTGCCAATAGATGCTGTCATCTCACAGAACCCGTAAAGCCTGCAGAATAATAGTTGCACAACGGACGCTCACGTTTCCAGAGTCCAGTGCAATAAAAGTAAGGTGCTGCGTGCAGAATATTTTGTTCTTCACGGATTCCTTAAAGCATCAATAAAATAACGTTTACAGCTAAATAACGTGTTCGGAACAAAGCACCGGATGACACAGAACCGACAGGGAGCTACACAACTACAATCCCCACACACCAACGGGAAGGCGTTGTTAGTCGATAAAAGACGTTAATTGTTGCGTGAAAACGAGTTGACTGCCTGGGCTGTGTGGTGGTGACAGATCCTGAGAGGACTTTTATCAACGAGCCTAGGTGGGTAGCCTGCCTCTGGGCTCCGAGCTGTCCTCGTGAGCACCCGCAGCGCGTGGAACCGACAAGCTAGCATTTCATCACCGTTACATGGTACCACATCGGTCATATGTATCAGCGGAAAACATGGGCTGCAGTGTATAAAAAAGGTTTGCAAGTGACAATAATTAACAAGTAAAATGACCAGTCGCCGTGCAGGCTCGTTATTTGTTTGAATGAGACACAAGTTACATTGGGTACGACGCAGGAGGACAGTTTCAGTGACAATCAATTTCCATAACCAACGCTGACATTAAATAAACATCGGTCCTCCTGGTTAGCGTGCACCGTTAGCCAACTAGCTTCCATGCCTTAGCTTATGCTGATTGGTAAAGAGTGGAAACACAAAAAAGCTTCTTCTAACGTGATGACAAGTCGAAAAACATGTCCCAGGGCAAAGCACTGGTCTCGTGAAATTACGCTCAGGAGACAGTAACCTGACAGCATCCCGGCATATTAGCCACCTGGGTTGAAAAATGAAACGCCCAATGTCAGGATCAAACCAAGATATAACGTTAGCTAACGTTAGCTTCGTATTCAGCTACCTACCAGAGGCTGGCCCTCGCCGATCACTGCACGCTAAAATGAGAATTTCACCGGTTGGGTCGTCGTATGCAAAATTAAAAACACCAGGACATAGTTCGTATCCCGTGGCATTTTGATGCACAAGCAGAGGAAATACAACCAGAAATACTTACTCTGTTCTGTGGAGAGCCACCCCTGCGCCTTTCTGCCTTTAACTCCCCTTCAGTCTCACCAAAGACTAGACTCTCTCCGCTGATCTGAGGTAAAATCCCGCCCACTGCGCTGTCACAGCCACGACCAAATATCCAGCCCGAAAGGGAATGGCAAGATAACTCCCACCCCAAACCCTGCCGTCGGTGGAAACCACGGCTAAACGCTCAAGAAATCGTATGACACAAGCTGTTTTACACTGCCGCAATTTCTGAACTCTGTTCGAACAGCTAATAGGCCGTGTGGTTAGTTGGTGAGTCAGGTGGTCAGTTGTTTTAGACCAATTAAGAATCAGGAGCTGACCAGGAGCAAGGGCTTTCATTCCACGTATATTTGAAGCGCCATTTTATTTCATGATTTAAACAATTAAAACATATCTGAAACAATACACGACATTATATACGACAATGTTCACTAAAAGACATACCAGAGCTCTCAAATTAATTATTTTTCGAAAGCGGAAGTACATGGATTGTAATTATCTTGCCTTGGTTAGTTTCCTTCTGTCACAGCACCGCCAGGGACATGTGATGCACGTCAAAAGGAGGATGGGTAAGTGCTGCTGGTGTGGATTTCCATTGGCCAAGCCAGCATATCAGTCGCCTATGGAAACGGTTACGTCATGATCCCCTCTTATTCCCTGTTTGCTCCCGTGTCGCTCTATAATAACAGGATTATTGAACGGTTCCCCATCATATGATGCAGTGAGAGGCACGCACCGAAACTTCACCATCATTTCTGCGGTCCTGTTGCTTTTACTCCACCTAAGCACAAGGCTCTTCCCTCAGCGCCTAATCAAACCTGACGTCATTGTTTCCATGATGTAGCGCGTTTTTTCTCCCTCTCTGCTCCGGACTCAATGCCTGTATTATTTGCGATTCTCCACTACTGTGGAGGAGTTGCACTCTCAGTAAACACCGATGATAAACACCCATGTGAGCAGCAGGTCAATGCAATGCAAAGAGCAGCACTGAATAACATTGTAGGCTGAGGTCGTAGCTGCCAACCCATTAGACTTTTGTGTGACAGAAATGAAACTCCAGAAGAACCTCTAAACGTGCTTCATGTGTATCTTAAGTATTTCAGAATAAATGTCTCAAATAGCAATGTGAATAATAAAACGTCAAACCCAGAAAGAGTAAATTATTAAATTCTGGGCCCCTTATTAGAAAAAAATTCTCTCTATTAAGGTCAAATCTCTGTATTACGCTTGCTGTTTTTGCATTAGGAAACTTATTGTTAACATAATAGATCTATGAGTACAAAAGCAGATTCCTCTCCAGGCAGTGGCATTGGCTCAGGCGGCTGACCAGGCTGCCAGTTCAATCTCAGCTGGCTCCTTGGGCCAGACACTTCACCTTGCTGCCTTGCCTCTCTGTATGTTGCATTAGAGAAAAGTGCCAAATGCATAAACATGGAACAAAGATAGTAAAATTTGACACAAATTTTAAAGTGGTCTTTTGATTTCATATCAGTTGATGGTAAAATTTTTTCCCCTCTGATAATTGCGAGAATAAGAATCTACACTACAGCCAAGCAATAACACCCAAAATGTTATAGTCATAGAATAAAAAAAAATACCTCAAATTATCCTGAGTAATTTTTTTCTCAATTTGAACTATACTTAGAAAACCCAAAGAGCCTTGTTGTTTTTTAATTGCTCGAGTTCAATCATTTTCCCAACAGCTGTTGTCTGAATCTTACTGTTGACTCAGTTTCTCTGTGGAAATTTGCCAGATGCTCTGGAGCATCTTGTGAACTACAATAAATGTCAAGTGTCATTAGCCTTTGTGAATTTTAATGTGCTTTTCATGCAGTCTGAGTAAGCAATAATGCTGAGGCACGCCAAACCTAACTGAAAAGAGGATGCTGCCCTCAAGGCTAACAGGGACACATTCAAAATTTAAACACTTTTTTTTTTTCAAATTGATTAACAAAGACCACATTGTTTCGTAGAAAACAGAGGACAACCAAAAGTTTGAGCTAAATTGCTTGTAGCAAGCATGATAGCTGTTGTGTGTATTTGCTCCCAACATAGAACTTTAATTGCTGGGATAGAGCTCTGCACACCATGAGATGAGATAGCTTGACAAATAATTGCAGGTTCAGTTGAAAAGTGTCTAGCAACTGACGCAGCTCGAATCTGTCTGCTTTTCCAACTGTTGTTGCAGCATCTTGCATTTTTCAAAACCACTCTAATGTGACATGATTAAAACATTTGCCCAATGGAAAATTCAAAAGGGAATGTAGGGAATGTGGAAAACAAAACTCAAGAGATCAATTATTTCCTAAACATGAAAAATAACATGACTGTTTTAGAAGTGCCAAAGGTGCACTTTGGAGATCACATGCCTCTTGGGTTAAGCTGAGTGGAAACATGGCTTACACAATCAGGTCCCTATCAGTGAAGACATGCTGTATGAACATTTCTTACTTTGGTCAACCGATCTATGGTTCTTGAACAGACACTGGATTTTCCACTGGCTCAGCACATTGGCAAATGGTTTGACGTGGATAAGATGAAGAGGGGGTGGAGGCGACAGAGAGTGCTTCCTCTTTTTGAAGAGGAAAAGTAAAAAAACACTGACTAGGTTAGAATATTTCATCTGCAGCCGCTCAGTTCTTCCCCAGTTCCTTAGTGTTTATATGTGATAGTATGTCATCTTACCAAGCTTCATGTTGAGGTACACCATTATTATGTTTAGACCTATTATTTAATGAGGACAGTAGCTATATCAATCAGACAAAGTTTAAATTAAGGATGGGTCTTGCACATTTTAATAATAAACCCTCTTTCTCCAGCATGTCATTAGTCTGATACAATTACTGTAATCAGGTTTTTCCTTCAGTCCAAACATTTGTTTAGGTCTAGTGAAGAAGACCCCAATTATATGATTAACATTCACACCATGCTGACTGACAAAACAACACACACATGCGAATGAAACCCATGATGTAGGTGAAGAGATCTGAACAGGACTGTAACTTTATGATTACGATTTTCAAGGCCAAATACGTCACGGCGAAGCAACAAGGCTGTCCAAATTTTAAGTATAATCAAAATACGTCCTCAGATGCATCCTCGTTTTCTGGTGTATCCTCATTGACAAAAGCTAATGCAGGATTAATTGCAGGCTGAACGGGAGATTTTAGATCTTGTAATAATGGCAGACAAAGTGGGAGAGGACTATAGTTTTAAAAGTTAGTATTTAACCAGCTCAGTGGCATGACTGTCCACCTTGAGACTGGGAGACTGCAGGTTCAAATCCACAGTCAAGCCATCCCATGGACATGAAAGGGGATATAGAAGAGCATGACTACAAACCAGAAATCGGCACATCGCATAAGTGACGTCACCACAAAATCTCCTCTCCCCTAGCATGGCTGCTACTTACCAAATGGCCAGATTTATGGTGGTTCTTTCCTCCTGAAGGAAGGATTTGAAGTTTGTCGAACTTGCAGCCATTTTCCTCCTTTTTCTCCGTGTCTGGTTCGATGACGTCACTTTTGTGAAGCACATTTGTAGTCCTGGACTTATTTTCACTCAAAACCTAAAATAGTGTTTCCCCCTGTTCCAAAATAAGCGCGTCCTTAGTATCAAAATGTGTCTTTAAAATTAATGGACATCATTATGTGAAATACATGGCACAAAACAAGCGGAATTAGAAAATAGCGTTTTTAGCCCCACTGACTTGCATTAATGTTTTTGTTCTTCCAGGGACCCATGGTCTGGAAGTAGATGGGCGTAACTTAGGCTCCCTATGGCTTTGGCATCAACTTTGGTTGATTTAGACTTGAGTCTTTCTTTGAGACATGAGCAGATAGAGATACTTTAGTCTTTTATCCTGAAAAAAGGATGCATTTGCCTGATCTTCTTCCTCGATGGTGTGTGGCAAACTGCTAGCCTGGCCTGCCAGACTCGTCCTCTGTTTAACTCTACTCAGAGAACTAGTCTAGTTACTCATAGGCAGAGAGGCACGTGAGGGGCGAGACTAGCCAGATCAAAAATAATCAATCAGAAAAAAGGCTGAAATGCCGACTGTATCGCACAATGCTGTAGTTTTTTAGCTGTCGTCACAAATGGCGTCTGGCGACGATGCAAACATCTTTTTTTTTTTTAGAAGAAAAGCTTTTAGCGCTTCTACTTGTGGTTTTAAAGACATTTTCAAGTCATTTAGAACAAAGAGCCGCAGAAAACTCTGCTTCAGTCGCCATGTTTACGAAAAACAGCGTCGTGGTGTGTGACGCACGCTGCTCAGCGCTTATTGGCTCAGTTAGACTTCTCAGAGGGTGGGGTTATTTGAACAGAAGAGCTCCCTGGCTGGCCAGGCTAGCAAACTGCCCCGTTGATTGATCTCTTTAGCTACTAATACATTACATTCTTTGTAGAAGAAAAACAAGAAACAAATTTTTACATTGCGCATCTCAAAAATCACAAAGCATTTCAAAGGAACAAAAAAAAATACATTATTATATATATATATATATATATATATATATATATATATATATATATATATATATATATATATATACACACACATACATATATATGTATAATATTGAAATACAGAAATGGGGAAAAAAGAAAACTTTTGATTAAAAAATGTGAAGGAAGAAAAAACATGAATAATAAATAGGTTATCACAGCATCCAGAGAAAGGCAGAACAGCGAGATTAAAAGAAGGTAGTGAGGATGAATCAGCAGGTCACCATAAAGCCTGAACAGGTGAGTTTTCAGCTGCTTTTTAAAGGAGACCGCTGAGTCCACTGATCTCAGGCTCAGGGGGAGATAGGTCCAGAGTCTGGGGGCCACAGCAACAAATGATCTGTCACCTTTGATCTTTGGCCTGGTGCGCTGCACAACCAGTAGGCTTTGATCACTGGACTTCAGGGACCTGCTGGGGGTGTAGGGACTAAGAAGATCACCTATGTAAGATGGTGCTTGTCCATGCAATCCCCTCAAAACCAGAACCAGGATCTTGAAAATAACCCTGATGTTAACTGGCAGACAGTAACGCTGGAGGAGAAGCGGGGTGATGTGGGTGTGTTTGGAGGACTTGGTCAGAAGCTGAGCACAGCTATTGTGAACCACCTGTAGACGGTTTGGGGAGGTTTTGCTCCGACAAGTGAAAAGTCAGTTACAATAGTCTAAGCGTGAGGAGATGAAGGTGTGGAT